GATCGGTGCTTTTTTAAATTATATCATCTTGTTGCAAAGATTTTCTGTAAATTTGTGAGTTCAGAGTGTCACTTTCACACTTAGGTTTGCCATGTAACTGTCATCCCCTGATTCTATATCTGGTCAAGCACTTCTGTCACAATCTCCTCCTTAATCTTCTTAATTCTCCTGCTATTAAAGGTGACAATGCAAAAAGAATTATGAAGTAAAAACAAGTCTTTCCAGGTATTACTTTGGTGTGCTGGAAAGCGTGAAAGAGAGAGTGCTTCACACACTCCACGTTCAGGAGATTGCTCAATTCTGCTCCTCTATTGTGGTGGTAATGGGAAACATATCACAAGGTTCAATCAAAGTAAGCTGAACTGGTGAGAGAGAGAGAAAGAGAGGGAGAGTTGAGAGGAAACAATTCAGAGAAAGGTAGAATCAGCGACAACTGACAAGAGTTATTGAGGAAGATAAACGAAGCAAAAAAAAAGGCTTGAAAACGAGACAAAGAAAAAAAAATAGAGAAAGAAAGGAACTAATTGATGATGATAGAGGGAGGGTAGTCTACCTCAGGGAAGAGAGAGACTATCCAGAGGTGTCATGGGGATGCAAAGTCCCTCTCATTATTTTCCAGTCCACCAGGCAGCTGATTTCTGTTTTAGCTACAGGGCTCTATAGTTCAGCAGCACTCCAGTGTTTCCTGTCCCTCAGAGTAACGCTTCAACATATGGCCCAGTCTTAAATAATCACATTGCATTGGGCGTCATGATGGATGAAGCCCACATTAATGCAGAGCTTTGACTTTATCCAACTTTGAATAAGTGCAGACTTTATGAGTCAAAGCTTAGTGACCGCCTGAAATGCATCACAAAATGTCAAAATTCTGCTCCTGTGTATTTATTCTATAAAAACACTGTAATTAGTTAACGATTTAAACTAAAAGTTGTATAAATCACTTTGTGTAGGGACAATATTTTTCAAAAGCTGACTGGAATTAAACATTTTACTTATCAGCATAAATGTCAACCTACTAGTCCGGCTACAGTCAACACCAACCTGTGCAATTAACTCTGTTCTAGTGGTTTTATGTGAAGTGGATTGTGTGGTCCACCACTGTCCCTACTATTGCCCCTCTCTAGAGCTGAAGACCGTGATTGGATCAGCACTCACTGTGGACATCCAATTACAACAACGCACCTGGGACAGAGACTGTAAGAGCCTGATCAGACCGACAGTCATGGCAGATGGTTCAGTTGCAGATTGCCACATGTGCCTCACCATTGTTGTTTAGTGGTTTGGATTTAATCAAAGCAAACTGATTATCGCACTCATTTAGCTACACTGTGTGTAGATACACACAGAGCAGAGGTGCTCTTTAGGCTGTATTTTAGTTTGGATGTACGAGTAGGTAGTGAGGATTTTATTTACGTGTTTCTTTATTACAGATAGTTTTAGCTTTTTATTTATTCAATTTATTTTGTAGTTTTGCCTCACCCTTTTTTTATTTTGTATAAGATGTCTAATTTCCTTAAAATAAATAAGTTTGACTTACCATTTTCGAGCTGGAAACATAAATGGGGGCTCGTCCGGGATTCGGCCGCAGCCGTAAAAAAAGTAGTTAAATTATTGGCTGCTCAGGGAAGCGAATCAGTGCACGAGAAGAGAAACGGACGTGATAAAAGTGACGTCATCAAGAGGGCACCTGCAAAAGCATCGTCTCAGTTTTCCACTTAATGTCATCTAAATACTGAAATACACGGATATTTCGAGATTAGAAGTTGCTGTTTTACGTAAACTTTCTAAGTGAGAGCAGGCAAACCAACATCCATATGGCTGCTTTTGTTAATATCTGCGGGTCTTCTGTTGTTCTTCTTTGAATAATTAAGGCAGATTACTGCCACCTACTGATATGGAAAGTTATTACCTCCGGCGCCGGCGCAGAACGTACAGACGATGTGAGGCAACACAACAGTCGGCTTTTGTCACCGCCATTCTTTGATGTCAGTTTGGTCTGTCAGGGGCTTAAGGTTCACCTTCTGGGGAACATGAATGTCAACATTTCATGGCAATCCATCCTGCAGATGTGGAGATATTTCATCAAAGTGGTGGACCGACCAACAGACACTGCCATCTACAGAGCCCTGTCAGTAGCATGAACATAAACAGGCCCCCCTTGCTGCTGTGCAATCTAGCAATGAATAAATATCTGATCAAGATATTCCTCAAGAGGTGATCACTTTATTTTCCAACCTTGTGAAGCTCCCACAATTATTTGCTGTACTGGGATGAAAATAAACCACTTTAAACCCAGAGATAATGGAAGGAGAGAGGGACAGAAGGAGAGAAGGATGGTGGAGAAACAAAGGAAAGATGTGATGGTGACAAGAGGAAACAAGTGCCGAGTCTGGGACAATGTGTGAGATATGGAGTGTGTGTGTGTGTGTGTTGTTGTGCAGAAGGAGCACCAGGGAGAAAATGAGGATTTTCTCTGGCTCATTCCTAATGTATTTACAGCGCATACAAACACAGGACACCAGACACAAAAGGGGAAATGGGAAAGCAAGAAAATGAGTGGAGGAAATGAGGGATACAAGAATGGCAGCAGGGAGGAATGGCAATCATTTTGTAGCAGGAAATGATGGAGCGATATCAGAGGAAAAAGGGAGGAGAGGAAAAGGCTACTGGAGCCAGAGCTGAATGTACCTTCAAACTGGGATTATAGTAATTGTTTACTAGGGGAGATTTTACCACCGTCCAAAATTAACTTTCAGGGTCAAACTGAGAAGAATTTACAAGCCAAAAATATTTGTTACCGGCTATAAAACTGCATCATGCATTTTTTGACTAAAATGATTGCATGCTGGTGGCTTTTGTATTTTAAAAAGGAGTTCATAACATTTAGCTGAAGCACTCTTGAGGGTAAGAAAGGTTACGATGTAGTGATTAAAGATGGATTAATTTAATATTCAATGTCTCTGTTCTAATCAAATTTAACTTACATCACTATTATTATTATAAAAACAACAAATTACGCAAAACCCAAAATTTACCGGGATTTGGTCCTTGCCAGGTGTTAATTTTGGAATTTTGGAGCGCCAAGATTTGGCTGGTGGCTGGTGAATTTTGCTCCCTGGCTATCAGGTTATGTCGCTTTTAAAAAGAGTTCGCCACCAAATGATCGATGCAGCAGAACCTGATCGTTTATCGTTTTTATCTAATGTACTCTTCGTCCTTGTCGAAACTTGGTGCCTACATTACCCACGATGCAACTCGAACTCGAACAGTTCAGCTGGAGAAAATGTTATGTTACTTATCTGGTTTTACAGTCGCAGCTACCGCCACAGTTTTCAGACTTTAATGTGTAAAATTGGTGGATTTCTACTTTAAGATTTGCTGTATAGTAGCTCAAATCTCAATCTATGACAAAGAGTATCAAAAATATGCTTGATTAACCAGATAATAACTCATGCACAATAACAATATACCTTAAATTACAAAACCCTGTGGCAGTAACTGAATGACCAACAAGGTTAGTTCAGAAACGTCTCTACATGAAAACCATCACAGTCAGTCTGAAACACATTTCAGTGTCAATGAGTCTTTAAAGGATGAAGGATTTGCTTTTATTTGGCCACATAAAACTGTTTTCTGGAAGTTTTGCTTCATGATGCTGGAGGTACTTCCTGTTTACATAGATAATAGATTGGTTTACTGTAATTGTACAATGACACAGATGTTTACACAGAACTAAGATCTTTACCATCTAGGACATTATTCAAAGGGTTTATACGCAATTCCTTCTCTCTCCTAAAAGTTTTAATATCGCAACCTGAATCAGTACTTTTCTGAAACAACCTAATAAGCCTTAAACTTAGTAATGGTTTCATGAATAGCTGCTGCAACACAGTCACAACAAGCAGAAGATATGAGATGACAGGTCAGGAGCGAGGAGGCACGAAAAAAAAAAGAGAGCAGAACTGGGTGGAGGTGAAAGAGTGGAGATAAAGGTGGCGGTGAGACACAGTCTGGAGATAAACCTTAAACTGCACCGAGGCTTAACAGAGCAAAGATAAGGGGCGAGTGAGTAAGGCCGAACATTTAGAGAATGAGAGAACAAGGGAGTGAGAGAAAGAGAGAAAAGAGAGTGTCGCTCGAGGGTAAGAAAGAAGAGAGAGAAAGAGAATAAAAGAGCGGCAGCTTCTGGAAAGTGGAAGGCATGATTACAGACTGTTCCTGGATCTGTACAAGCATAAGTAAAACAGCTAATGCACGTCTGTAGGACTGTTTCTTTCTCTCTCCGCCTCTCCTCGCTCCAGGTCACATGTCCGCAGCACTGGATGCTATCTGCCCTTAATAACAGGCACAGCTTTTCATTTCACAATCTCCGTCATCTCAGCAGACGGCCGTGGCCTCTCTCTCTCTCCCCCCCTCATGCATTATAAATACCCCATTACAACTTGTTGACTTGCACTCTGGGGCCCTGTGGCATGTTGACGGACCACTCTGCAGACAAAACTAATCAACAGCATCATCATTAGGCGCACCAATGGACAGGCAGCCTGCACTGATTGGGTTACTTTGCCACATCATGTGGCCCCCAGGCCTCTGTCTGAACCCTGTCTGATGCTTCACGATCTATTGCGACCAAACTCAACTGGGTTAAGCTAATAGCCTAATCTAATGCTGTCAAAGTCACGCACAGATACCCCGAAGGGCGGCTACGTCTTGTTCTCCCCGTCTCCTGATCACATAACAATTAGTCTTCCGGCTCGCGCTGTAAGTGGAGTGTACCAGGAAGTGGCGGGCCCAGGCAGGCCTCTGATTGGAGGCCTCTGGAGATGAGGTGAATGCCAGCTGGCAGTGAGCGCAGGCCAGACAGCCAGGCTCAGTCGCACAGATCTGAGGGACAATACAATGCTGGCGCACACAGTCTGCTCACTCCCATTTGGGATGTGTGTCTGTGTGTGACAGCATGTGCATGTATGTGTGCTATTTTAGACTTGAAAGTGGCTTACTTTAAGCAGATCCTTGTGAAAATCTTGGCCGTCGTTCAGTCCTTCCAGGTTGCCGATGAACTGCGTGCACGACATCCTCTTGCCGATGTTCTGAATAAATATAAATATACTTTTATTTCACACTAATACTACAAACATTCCTCTTTTATTTAAGACCAGCTGCCTCCCTTATGTGGTTTATTCAATTATTAATTCAGTTTAAATAAAGCACCTTTCTATATTAAAAGCTCTTATTTGCTGTCTATGAAAAGATATTATGCATGAAAAAAAAACAGCATTTTGGAGGGTTAAAAATATAAAATGTATAAATAATTTATACATTTTGGATCAGAGTAATGAAAGATTGTCTTTAATATCTAGTATATACCTTTACTAATAGTTCCTAATTTAAATCATTTAATAACAACATTTAATAAGAAATGTATTATATGTATAAACTCAAATATTTGGCATTTGGGATGAGTATCCAAAAGTAGAGACGACCTTCATCAGACAGATTTTGTCTGATTTCTTGAACCGAAACGTTATAAATAAATGTTTTTTATGTTAAGTGTGCAGGAATTTATCTTTTCATCAGAGACAGCTAAAGAATAAAGTACTGGTTTAACATCTGTTATGAAATTCATTTATGCGCATCAGCACTTGTATCGTCGATAATATCCAGCCTACAATTACAATCGCAACAAATTTTGTTAACAAAAAAGTTCAACATTTGCCCATTCAAGCTTCTAAAATGTGAGGATTCACTGCTTTTGTCTGGTTTTTAGATTATTTTAAAATTGAACTTGAGGTAAAACAATAAATATGAAGATGTCATATTTAGCTCCGGGATATTAAGATGAGTTAAGATGTAGATAAGTTCCTTTATTGAGCCCCTGTAGGAGAAATTCAAACTGGCACAGCAGTGCAAAGAGTAAAGAAAATACAACCAAATATAATAAAAGATGTAAACTAAATACTAAACAGAATATAATAAGCCTGTGTACATGTGCAAAGCCTCTGAAAGTACGTGTGCAAATCCGGTGTTGTGCTTGACAGTTTAACAGTCTCAGTCAGCCGAGGTAGGAGGTACGATCGGCACTACTTTCTCTCACTTCAGAAACGATTACTCAAAAAGTTTAAAAAGTCACAGCCTGCATAAACCGGTCTCCTCTCTCGCTGTCTCCAAATAAAGACGAGGACGGCAGTGAGGATGATCACAGTCACAACAGAGATTAAACCTACAGTATATTTCTGTTAAAATATGTTGAAACTTTCCAGATTCACTCTTTTCCCTAAAGGAGCTGATCCCCTATCCAGTCACCTCTACAGCCACTTTAATTAATCATTCATCCGCAGAGCCGTGCTATCACTGAGGAGAGCCGCCAATGGCCCAGATTTGCAAAGGGAGGCTCTGACTATAAAAGTAGCAGATTAATGATGGTGAAAGAAGCTCAGCAGGCAGACCCGCAGACCCAGATCAGCTGGTGATCAGAGTCTTATATTCCCAAAACTCCAGAGTTAATCAAAAGGGCCTTTAAGGAGACTGCAGCTCTTAAAAACTTAATCTTTTATTTGTTTATCCTTTGCTTGACTGAGCACACCTGTCCCCAAACACCTGCACACTTACTGTGCAGCAGAGTCTCTCACCTACACATATAACTCACCTGGCCATGAAGATCGGTGTTCAGCAGCATGAGGGCACAGGTGAGAGTGTGGACTGCATCTAAGGGATGGAAACAGCAAGTTGGCGTTAGCTCGGTCATCCTTCGCATAGAAATAAGACTTACAGACAGGAGAAACTACAATCTAGAGCCAGTGTTTGGTTTGTCCGTTCTGGGCTACTGTAGAAACATTCTAAGGTTACGAAAACACGATGATGCCTATATTAAAACAAAAACAAAACATATCTATGAATATTATATCCAACTTCTGCCAATAGATTCTCCTAAATGTTACACACTGGACCTTTAAGTATGTCTCCTTTCTGTTTCAAGGGTCGCCTTGAAACTGCAAACCAATCAATGCACATTTTAATCAACGTGTCCTTAACGACGTCCACCACTGAATTCATAATACCCCCCATAAGATCTCCACTGTGTTAATATTTAAGAGCTTTTTCTATGGATGGATGGATTTCCACCAATGTGATGAAAAAACAAAAAGATTTGGTAAATCATTATAATGAGACTTTCTCAATATTTTGACTTATTATTTCTAAATAATGAGAAACTTCCTCAGTATTTTCAATTAGAATCTCAAAATAATGACAAATGTTTTCAATATTTTGAATTAGTATCTGAAAGTCATTATTTTGAGAAAGTTTCTCATTATAATGTTTTCTTTTTTTCCTCCCATCACTTTGGCAGAAATGGGCCTCCATAGAAAAACATCTGCCTGCTGCGACATAAAAAATAAATCTCCATTTTTCTCTGCAGCACTCACCCTCTGATGGTATGACTCTTGGGTTGCAGTCCAAGTAACGCTTTGAAAAGTGTGACAGCACCCTCTCCCTCTCCTGAGTCTCCCCCATCAGGGCAAACTGCCTGAGGAAGGTCCTGCAGCCACAAACACAGGGACAGTCAGCAGCAGATCTTTAACACCTAACTCCTTCCCAACATTTTATGGTTATTACTGCAGTCCGCCCTGCATATAAATATACAGGTGATGACGCATGCTCAGTATATCTTTATAGATAAAAGTAAAATACTATATGAACCTCTGTTAAGTGCTTACTGTACATACTGTACAGTCTTTTCACTCTAAATGCAAAGCCACAGCTGCCCTCTAGAGAGCAGTGTTTAACAGTGGAGAGTCTCCACTGCATACTAACAAAGATTAAAGCAAAACGTCTGCAGATTTTCATCTAATTGAGGCCAAATCAAAGCCACCATCACACAGAAGGAAGGATTAAGAATCATGTGAGGCGCAGCGAACACGCGGTTGGACCACAGTCACAGTCTAAAGAATTAGAATTGTTCCAGACAAGAGTTTATTATTTGCATTCATTCATTTAACATTTTTAAACAAACTAGCAGGAATAATTTACTGTATTATATATAATATAATATTTTAAAAACAACAACAACAACAACAAACAACTGTAAACATCAAGATAAGATCAGTAATAAGTAATAAGATGATATAGAACAAATATTTACAGGTTGGTTACTGCAGCAGAATAAAAGAGCTGTCAACTAATTATTAGAGCAGAAAGGGACCATAAAGTGTTTCAAATAGTGAAAACATGATCATTTAAAAGCCAACGCTGCTGTCTTCTTACGCCAGGAGAGGGAATTAAATGCATTTAAAGATTTCCAGGGATGCATTGTGTGTTCTCACCGCAAAGCCTGGTCGAGAGCGAGGCCTGTGAAGTTGAAGAAACTCAGATACTCTTCCGCTACCATACGGCTGAAGTCATTACTGTAGACAGACAGATATAAAGGAGTCATACAGCAACAGAGGAATAACACAGGAAGAAGAGACAAGAAAAAAAAAACCCTCTCAATAAAAGCACAAAATGTCAATCAAACGATCAAATGCTAGCTTTCTCAGCTCAGTGAATGGCCTCAGTTTGTGCTGTCAGTCAGTCAGCGTGTACTGGCACAGTCAGCTGGAGATGCAGACCGGAGGCCAGAAAAAAGAAATAAATTAATAAAATAAAAAAAAGATAAAAGGAGGAGACTCACAGGGTGCATCTGTCAGAAAGTGAGGAAACCCTTTAATCCCAAATTCTTTCTCATCAGCACGAGCAAGCAGCTGACACACTGATGGGCTGATCGAGCAGCACGGCGCTGGAGGAACGCAGAGCTACTAAAACACAGCACTTTTGTGGGCAGAATTTAAACTGACATACAGTAAATGTGCAGGAAACTGAATATGCACTGGTCCTGTGAGATTAGTAATTCATTAAATAAACATTAGATGCAGTAGAGAGGAGCCTCACTACAGCTTCAGAGAGGATTTAACATGTTGGTTAAGAGAAGTGCAATATTTATTCTGAGTTCAGTAAAAAAAAGTGTCTCTCTTCTGCCATTAATTCTTCTTATTAATTATAAGAGTATCAGCAGGGCTATTGGTATTATTATTCACCATTTCATAACTGATAGATGTGGCAGTAAACGTACGTGTACAGTTTTAGTAGCAGAAGTCATTGTTGTAGAACTATTATTAATAAAAAATTATAATAATTACACACATTTCTTTCTTTTCTATTATTGATTCAATGTGTATTTTCTGATCTGTAGTGTTGTATCTGGAGCTGCTGCAGTGAGTAAACTGAATCTTAAATGTAAATTCTGAAGTCTTTGCCAGTTTAATCCCATAAAATAAGAATACCGTGTAGATTTTTAGCCATTAGGAGGCAAAATCCTACAGCCAGCAAGGCAAACAATCATGTTATGTCACTGTCGAACAGTCGTTATATGTTTATTATTCAACGTTTTACTACGAGCTGAAGAAGAAAACATGTCGGTTTTATCTCCACTTCCTGCCTTACTTTATGTTGTTTACAAGGTTCATTATTAGAAGGTAGGTCAGCTCAGTTTATGTGAATTATAAAGGTTAAAATACCCTCTGCTCCACACTGTCAAACCAAACTCCATTCAAAAAACGGCTGTTTTAAGGTAGGGACGTATTTTTTCAGAGTAAAAACTTTATTTCCACCGTCACTGAGACTTTTTTCTGATTCTCTTCAATCTACAGACGCAATCGGCTCACATTTACTCAGTCACATCATTAACTAACCTGTGACTAAGTGTTTGCCACAGACACATACAGACTGTCCGGGTCTCTCCGTTCAACATTTTTTTCCTCTCTGCAGATTGCCTGAAGCTTTTACTGTCCTTCGTTCTTTGGGGAAGTAAAGAAAGTTGTAATAATTTAATAGAATAACACAACAACTTATCGTTAAGAGGAGTGAACAATCTTTCCTTGAGTTTTGACTTTATAAAATGAATTGCTGCCTCCAGGGGCAATAAAAATTTGGCATATTTTGCTTTATGTCAGGGATTGACAGCTGTCACTAGTTAGCTGATGTGAGCTAACATGCTACGTTAGGACAATATGGCGCTACACTTTTTGTCCAGTTTCACTGACTGCTGTTAAACTTTGTAGAGTGGGGTATCCATCCTGTAAACTTCATCTAGCGTTTCATTTCCACATTAATGTTAGCTGCTAAGGTGTTACTGAGTGTTGCTATGGTGATCAGTGTGGTTGCTAGGGTAAGGGAAGCAGTTGCTAGGGCAGTTCCGAGTGGTTGCTAAGCTGTTGCTTTAAGGCTTTTATAAGTGGTTGCTAGGGTGTTGTGGGCCTTTCTAGCAACAGCTAACTGATGCTAGTCTATTCAGGGAGGTTGCTACAGGAAGAAGCAACAGAATAATAAACCTATATGCGGGATTACAATACGTGGGCTCGAACGCCACACAACTAGCACACTTCTGAGGATTCAGCTTTTGAGGTTTTTACAACACAATAAGTCTCCGGCAGCTCACTTCTTGCTGAGGTGGCGCGCCACATCCGACTTCCTGAAGCCGTCCAAGTTGAAGAGGCGTTTGGCCAAGCGTTTGGCGGCTGCCACGTCGGCGTGGTGACTGCCGTTGGTGAGGGTCTCGCTGCTGTCCAGGCCCAGCCTCTCGCTGAGGTCCTGGTCCAGCTCCGAATCGGTCGCCAGACGGGCCTTGTCCCTGCTGAGAGGGGCAGAAAGAGTGAGGGATTAAAGACACAAATAGATGGGTAGAAAAGGATGTGGAAAGGAAGGGAAAGATGGGAAATGAGAAATATTTTGGAGTACAGTTGAAAAAAGTCTGGTAAATAATTGAAAAGGAAAGAGAGAAATGGATAAAAGGAGGAACAAAGAATAATGGTCATATAATAGTAAAACTAATAACTCCAGCACATCAATAATTTAATATTAATATCTGATTCAGCACCGATCTTAAATCAGAGTTTCGAGCTGTACGTGATGCGACAAGAATACTAAAACACTAAAAGGGGAGAAAACAGTGAAGGTAGAATAAAAGAAAGATAAACATCTGTTAAATTAAATACTCTAAATACATTATGGAGAGATAGAAAGTATAAGAGAGCAGAAATATATGATGTAGTAGTAAACAAAGCTCATATTTTACATTCATTTCAAGTATAACTGAACATATGCAAATCATTTTACATTCAGACACAACATTTGGCATAATTACACTTTAATAACTGCATTCAAAATCTCTTTTTTCCAGCTTCCTCGCTTCCTTGTTATCACGTCCTAATTAGGCCCCTTCAGAAGTGCAAAACTTATTACATCTGAATTATCCTGTGATAATAATTTAAGCATGTTATGTCACGCTGAGCTAAAAGAGAACTGCTTTTCTGGCTTTGCTGGAATGTGGACGACAGAAACGAAGAGGTCGGCGAGTTCAGTTACTTAGGATTCGACATGATGCTGACATTTGTCGCTGCCGTCGAGAGCTGTGTGACAATTCTGGTCACGCCAGCCGGCCGGGAGAACAACAATGACGGCCCCGACAGCTGAGAGTTGTATGAAAAAAAAAAAAAAAAAAAAAGCCAGAAACACTTCCTGAACAAGCAGAGCTCTCATTTGTATTTCTCGACATCAGGAACAAGCCAACAAAACCCACAGTCCCAGGGCTTTGCTTCCCACACTGACACATCTTCATACTGTCAATGAGTCAGGCAAAATCACACCAGAGCAAACAGTAATTAATAACACAAGGCGACCGGGTAGGAAAGCTACAGTGGTTTCAGTACAGTAAGTACAAAGTACACTACGCATACACAGAAGAGACCACTGTGAGTAAGTTTAATGCAAACAGCAGCATGCTCACATATGCTACTAAAACACAGAGTACAGCTGAGGCTGATGGGAAAGTTGTTATTTTGCAGGTATTTAATTAAAAGTCAGTGGTTCCCTTCTTTTTCCTCAAGGGACCCATTTATTAAACTGACGACCCTTCTTAGGTGACATATTATTTTAGATATTTCATATTATATTATAAACTGTACAATGAACTGAACAGTGAACTCAGTAACTGCAGGAAGTTTGTGTAAAACCAGAGATTTGGATGAATTTTGAGCTGATTATTTCCTGTTTGGGGAACGTTTTATACAATTATCTGTCTGTATTATGTATTTGTTAACAATCATATGGTAAATGGTAAATGGACCTGTACTTGTAGAGCGCCTTTCTAGTCTTCCGACCACTCAAAGTGCTTTTACAGTACGTGCCACATTCACCCTTTCACACACATTCACACACCGATACACAGCATCGGGAGCAATTTGGGGCTCAGTATCTTGCTCAAGGATACTTTGACATGTGGCGGAAGGAGCCAATTAGTGGACGACCCGCTCTGCCTCTGAACCACAGCCGCCCGTCAAAAATCTAAAAGGCCTCACGACCCTCCTGTGAAGTTGACCCCTAGTGGTTGGGAACCATTGATATAAGTAGGCCTATTTAAATAAATGTTGACCTGATGGTGGCGCTAAAGGAGCTCTCAGGTGGTCACCGAGGTTATTAGGATTCATTAATGTTATGCATAATTACGGACATGGCCATGTGCCGTAACAGGAGGCGGTTTTGTTTCTGTTTTGTTTTTGATCAGCCGGTAGAATCAGTTACTAAATGAACATCATGCTGTATGGAGACTGAAACTAGAGACTGAGACCAGAAACTCATCAGGAAACTGTTTACTGAGCTCATAAATCAACTGAGAAGTCGGCTCATTTCTCCATAAGACTGAATGGTATCGGTGTGTTACTGCAGCCAGTGGAGCGGCCCCCTGCTGGCCAGTACAGAGAATGCACTTCTGCATTGTCTATGTGTGTAACAAACCATCAGATAGATTACATTAATGTCTGTACCAAATTCCACTGCAGTGTAACCAGCCGGTCTCATGGAGGTGCTAGAGGTAAAGTCAAGGGTTTACCAATCCAATAGGCTCCTCTGAAGACTGTTAATGTCTGTTAAAGTTAGAGCCATGCTGCTAGCAATGCTACAACATACAGTGCTGCAGCTTTAACACAGAGGCCTTTGGGTTCAGGAGTATTACAGCAGTCACACAGTTTTCCCAGCTGAGATCTGCTCTGCATCAGTACTATTATAAAACTGAAGTGAACCAGCCTCCAAACACACTCACAACTCCTGACAGCTAAAAACACAGCGTGAATTTTCCTTCTGGCCAAACGTGATATTCAAATCCTCTGGTACACCCACATTGCAGACAGGTGAGACAGGTTCCTGGGTGGGGACGTACCTTTGGTAGGACCGCCTAATGGACAAATACCTCTCCTCTCCGACTGCAGATGAACCATGACAGCAGAAGACAGACTGCGTCCTCATTGCCGCCCCCTGACCGGCACCTCGCCTCACCAGACTGCCCCCTCCTCTCCTCCTGGCCTCGTAACCTGAACGCATCACCGCCCGGTCCGGAGAGCGGGCGCTAGCGCCGAGGAACACCTGTAGTCGCTCCCGAGAGGCCCGCAGACTTTGGCATTCCTCTGCTCTGGTTTTGAGTCTGACTGAGACTTCATGGGTCCCCCTTTTCTGTCCTCCACTTTCTCACTCTCCCTCTGTGTTTGCTGTCATTTGATCTTCACAGCAAGATTCCTCCCCCCCCCCAAAGTAAAAGAGCTGTTTGTCCTGCAATGCCTTCTCCTCCTCTATCTTTTTTCCCTCTGAGTCTGTTTGCTGTTGTTTCTGTTCCCTCTTTTCACTCCTCCCTCTCTCTCCCTCCCTGTTCCACTGTGTAAACTCTCACCGTCCCCCTGCTGACCTTGAATTCGAAGCATGGCATGAAACTTGGCTTGTCTATTGCCTAAAAATCCTCCTCCCTTCCCTTTCTGCCTTCCATTCATTCCCCCCCCCTCTCTCACTCTCTCTGCAGCTCCAATTACACACACTCAGTATATCCATCCTTTGGGTGTTGTACAGAGTCTAGTCTACCTTGTTTCTGGTGTGAGCTTTTAGCACACCTACAGAGAAAACAAAGATATGAGGTGTCAGGTTAAAACACGCAGCGATATCTGTTGGGTGTGTGCCGCTAAACTGTTGCCCAGAGGAAAGAATAGGTGGCCTTTTGTCAACGTCTGAGGCTATTGTGGAGTCTGTTTACAGCAAACGCCTCATCGGGGCCTGCAGGAGTGTTCATAATCAAAGGATTAAGCCGGCATTCTGGTTTAGGGCTCCGCCACCTGTTGTCTCATCAGGAGCCGGCACAAAGTAGAAAAGGTCCTGAGAGAATTCCCAGTGTCAGCCTCTGCTTTAACCGAGCCCCCTCTCAGTCCGCCGGGCAGCGCTGCACAATGAGCCACTGTCTAACAGTGCAGACCATCTGAAAAGGGGGACGTGAGGGAGGAAGGAGGGGAGGGAAATTCCTACTTTTTTTTTTTATCAAAGTATGGACAAAGCCCTCAGAAATATTTGTCTCGCCGTATCCCTCCCGGATTCCACAGCTCCGGGGCTGCCAGCTCTCGGACCGGTTATAAAACTGTGATAAGATCAGCGCTGAGCAAACATTTACCTGAAGTCCAGAGTGATTTGGTTCTCACATGAAAGAGCTGAGAGAAGAAGGAGGTTAAGAGAGAATAACTATGTCAGGTTATGTTTAAATAGCGAGGAAAGAAAGAAAAATGAAGCTGTTTTTGACCTTTCAGGGTGAATTTGTGCATTAACAACTGAAACGTAACACACACACACACACACACACACACACACACACACACTAGACTCACTCTCACAGCACTGATTGCTGTCCTCTTCCGCCACCTAGTGGTCAAAGCAACAAGGTGACCCGGTGCGTTCACTCTACCTCTGCAGTGCTGTCACAGTAAGTTAGGATGACATTCACAGAGCCGGTCTACCTCATCACACAACAAAAAAAAACGTCTTTTTTCTTTCTCTTTTTTTTTTTTTTTTAAAAAAAAAATTTTTAAAAATCTTTTTTTTTTTTAAAAATATTTTAAAAAAAAAATTTGTATAAATAAATCCTGCAGTGCTGTCATCAGAAGTTAAGTCTTTAGGACTCTGACATTCACAGAGCCGGTCTACCTCATCAAAGCACTGAAGCAGACTGCTCTGCACAAGGAGAGAGACGGAGACACTCATCCGTCTGGAGACTGACAACAGTCCATTAACAAGGTTCTGACCTCAGAAAGGAGGCAATAAAAACTGCATTAATACTGAATTAAGGTCTAAAACTCTGTAATTTGTAACCGCTTATGAGGTTCTTTTAGAAGATTATTCAAAAGGAAACGGGTTGACGTGAAGCCAAGTTCTCTTTTTGTGTCTGTTTATGAGCCCAAACTAATAAATACTCATATGACAGAAGGTGCAGAGAGACATGTATCAATAAAATATACACAGCCATCGGTTTGTGTGTCCACCATCTAACGCTATGGAGTGACAATGTTAGGCAGAGACCCCCGATCTTAGCGTTCTTTAAAATTTACATATTAATAATGTTACAGTTACCCTTCCTAAAAGGTTAGTTACAACATTACTTTTGTTGTAACCTCCTAATGATTTAAAATCCTACAATCACATCCTTTGATTCATTTTTGTAATCATGAAGCAAACTTTGGAAGATGGAAATATTCATATTACTTTGATTTTAACAATCAAAACTGGATTTTAATCGTCATAAGTCTGAAGTTTTGGGGAGACGGGGTGTTTAAGAAAAGTAATATTAATTTATATACATACGTAAAAAACACATAAATACTAACATATGGATGAATAAAGAAAAGAGACACAATAAAAATAAGTAAATAAACACATGAAAGGAGATCTACAAAAAGGTTTTGAGGAGCTGCTTAAAACTATAACTAGTAGTGTAACTAATTGCTGTTGCCAGGGAGTAATAACTAAAGTAATGATGTTACTTTTGAAAAGAGAACTGAGTAATAAATGGTTCTCTACATGCAGAGGGAATCTATGCAAAGTGTTTGGTCTCTTCATAAAGGCTCATGACCACGATTCACCCATTCACACACACTAATATACAGTGATAGCAAGAGGAGCCGGGAATCGAACCATTAACCTTCTGATTAGAGGACAACCCACTCTACCTCCTGAACCACAGCCGCCTCAATATTGTTGAAAATGTCACAAAATGCAGCTTTAACTGTAAATAAGACACCCAATGACGATCGAGGAGAGTCACACACTCAGTGACAAGGAGCTACTTCATTTACAGAAGAAAAAACATGATTAACCCAATCCATGAAAAACAGCCCCCACTAAACTATATGGTGTCTACACACTTTTGGCCATATATTTTATGACAGCGCTGCTGATTCTGCGATAATGTGAGATATCATAAGACTTATAAGGATAAAACACCTGCCGTGGCAGTTTTTTAGGGGTATATTTTAAACGTAGAAATCAACCATGTTCTGCATCCACTGCAATCTGAATTATTAAAAGCTTTCAGTTTTATGGACAGCTGGGATTAAATGGTTTGTGCCAGAAGTGCATAAAGTCAGAGCCTCTGCCAGAAAGCAGTTCAGTGTTCAAACACACCAGAACGTATCGCTGCACCGACATATTGATTGTGTATCACAACAATATACAATACAATACAATATACTGTCATAATTTGTAACTAACACTAACTAACATTATTTTCTCTTTAATAATACAATTGTTTTTTACTAAAAGTAGTTCTGATGCTGAATTTAAAGCTGCTTTAATACATTTGTTTTATTAACAATGGACTCGGATGACTACATGTAAAGTTAAAGGGGTTACACTGTATTTCCTCTCAGTATTTTAGTGTCTTTCAGCTCATTGTTTTGGTTTTACAACCCACAAATTGACTGTTTTGCTTCAGTCTTATTACTTTAGGCAGCATCTTTTCCACAAAAAAATCCACTGTACACTCCCTGCACAGCTCCAAACAGCAGACACACGCAGTTGGCAACTAGCTGGTGAACATAGTGGAGCGTTTTTCAGCTACAGATATTTCCCTCGGGAGTTGGTGGAGAACAAAACAGAGCTATAACAATCAATGAATGCAGGTTTTAGTGCTTATAATATTTAATACTACTGGATGCTAACTCACCTTGGCAATGAGAAAGAGATGTTGCTGTACCAGCTGCTCCCCAGCTGTGCACACTCTCGTCCTCTGGGCGGCGTGTCGTCTGAACCGCTGCTCAGCCTCTCGCTGGACGGGGCTCGGGTGGCGTCAGAGTCCCCGGTCACGGTAAAGATAGAATCAGACAGACTGGGCCTCTCATGGTGAGCCAGCGGGGCGAAGCTAAGCTGGACGATCTGCCTGGCGCTCTGACAGACCGGAGCGTGGATGGCAGGGGTTAGTGTGGGCAGGTCAAAGGTCAGGACTGTCTGGGTGCTGGAGGTCAGCAGCTCCTCGCTGTCCAGGCTGTTGTACGATGTCCCTTTGGCTCGGTGAGACTCCATAATGCTCTCAAAGTGGCGGCTGAAGGTGTCTTCTGCAGCACAACGAGGACCGGAGACCAGGATGGGGGATTTCAGGGCTGGGTGGTGGTTGTCAAAAAACGTTTCCATTGGTCTGGACAGAGAGGGAGGTTTTAGAAACACTGCAACAACACAGCTGTGTTTATAAAGAGAAGCGTAAACGTGTGTTAACCAAGGACACATCTAGAAAAAGGGACTCAGATTGTGTCTTTATTAAGTCTTTATAGGATGTGCTGTGCTGTTACTAATTCATGCAGAAATGCCACCAAACTTGTTTACTTGAAAAAATAGGTTATGAGTGAGATCCAAATTCAGATCAAAATATAGGTCAGGGGAAAATCCCACTTCACCAGAACGTGTGTGAACTCGTGTGTGTTTGACTGTGTGTGTTTGACTGTGTGTGTTTCATGTGCACCTCTTCAACAGGTGACCAAACACCTCCGGCTCTTCCTGAGCCGCGTACTGCTGCTTCCTGTTGTCTCCTTGCATCCTCACGCTGGCCCAGCTCACCATCTCTTCCTCTTCCTCCTCCTCCTCCTCATCTTCCTCTTCCTCGTCCTCCCTTCTCTTCTCTGCCACCTCCCCGTCTGTCCTCCCATAAGGCAGACCCCCCAGCGGGCTGCTGCCCGTCCCTGAAGTGCCCTGCACGCTGCGGTTACTCCCAAACGCAGAGTCGGCGTCGTCCTGCTCAGCCAGCAGCACCTCGTCTATGTCTGTCTCACGGTAGCAGCGCAGCGGGATGGCGTCCAGGTCGGTTTCTGAATACTTTAGCGTGCGGCGAATGATGCCGGTTTTGGGTGAAGTCCCGATCACGGCTGGGGGAGGGGTCACCAGTTCTACCTCCACATGCTGCACCTCGTGATTGGCAGAGAGCAGAGGCAGGGAGGAAGGGGGAGTCGGGGTGGGAGACTCACTGGAGTTACCACTGGGAGGAGCTGTGGAGGTTTCCAGAGAATCTGCAGATGAATAACATCAAACTCAATGAATGATGTAACTGCACAGAAAACATATTTAAAAGATTTACTTGCTCTTAATTGGTCCAGAATCATAATCAAAGGCTGGGGATGAATATCAAACCTCAATACTGTTTTGGGACTGACCCAAAAGTGCCTGAAGAACTGAAAGATGGCAATAAATGTCTGATTAGATCTGTCATCTTGTTTACTTTAATCAGATATTTACTGATTTTTCTAGGTTTATCAAAATTAAACACATCCCACAACTCTTCTCCGATATACCCGATATAAGCATCTTGAATAGTGAGCATACAGGGCCACCAGCTCTGATGTTCTTACGTTGATGATATCGCCTGTAGGAAGCACAAACCCTGGTTCAACCCTTCTGTATTTATGAACATTTATATTTTTCTTGATAAATGTTTTATCTAAGTTAATATTGTATTCTGTAAAACCTCACATGAAAAGTTTATTTTTTTAATACTGTGTATATTTGGTAATCTATATGTCACATGACTAATTATTGGACTATATATAGGAACCAGAAACAACCTCAGATACCACCCTGAGGAAAGCAAGATAACTTCCCTTGGAGAGATTAATCATAATATATCAGAGAGGAGTTTTGTTATGATATTATGAAGAAGTTTAAATGGTGAAGGTGGCGATATTCTATATTTTCTAGCCCAAATCCCATTGTGCCCAGCCATAAAGGTGCAGTAGTACATGACGTATTTCAGACTTTATGAGTTTCCAGTCGGACTTGAACGCCCCCCTGATTCTGTTGAATCAGACATACACACATTACGGTCCAACTGTGGACATGTTTGTATGAGCAAAACACTGCGTAATGTGATGTTGTCCACTGGTATTGCTGACGATGATGCTATTCCCAGCTCCGACTTTGGACTTCCGAGGTAAATGTAACACACCAATAGGACTCAACAATCAATTTTCCTTCTTGGCTCTGATGTAGTGAAAGTTTCAGCAAATATGAAAAAATATATAAAAATTACTAAATGCAGCTTAGAAGTAGTTTTTAGACAAATATTACTCAGACAGGATGATACAGTGTATTTGTTGGGGACTATTTTCAGCGGTGGATTAATTCACATTTGCTGCTCTAGTGAGTATTTAAAACAGCAGGATGGATCTCTATGACACAGAGAAATAGGATATATCAGGCTTTTAAATGATACAAGGCACCGAATGAGTATGTTGGCCTCAATGACATCCAGTGACACTGACAACTCACAGTGTGACTCTGGCTTCTCTATTTCCTTTAGATCACCCTGAAACATTATCTCGTGAAGCATGAAGGATGAAGGAATACATCCTTCACTCTGGTGTGATATGAAAACTGAAGTGCAGTAACTAGATGAAATTGAGGTGGACGTGCTCTCACTTTTCTCCCCCCTGCTAGCAGCCTCCTCAGCTGGGGTCCCGAATAAAAACTCCCACTTGGCACGAGCGATCCTCTGACAATGGAGCGAGGGCACGGGAACTGCAGAGCCACTGTCCGTCTGAAAGATACACACAGAGACAAAGTGGAGGAGAGCTCTGCAGTGCAGCGTTAAAGGAACAGTCAGACATTTACTGACTGCAACAGTTACGCCTCCAAACTACTCAGATTTTAACAAATAAATCTGGATTTTAATCGTCGCAACGCTGAATTTTGGGGAGTAGACTAAAGTAGCTTTAGTTATTTTAAGTGACACTGAGTAAATTCTTCTTTTTTTTTACAAAATCAGTAAGTCGGTGTTGCTTAAAATTACTTATAAAAGCTGTTTAATTAGGAATCTTTTTTAATTTTTTGTTTGTGTTCGATGTAATCCGTTTCCAACATTTATTCTGAGTTAAACTAACTTAATGCATTACAGTGAGGACTAGCAGAAAACGAATATATCTAGTAGTGTAACTAATTACTGTCGACAGGGAGTAATACGTAAAGTAATATTACTTTTGAAAAGAGTAATGAGTAATAATTTTTGAGTAACTAGCCCGACAGTGCTTATTACTATGTGTGAAGTATGTAACCAGAGCAAGGAGGAGGTTAGCTTAGCTTAGTATAAAGACTGGAGCAAGGGGAAAAACAGCTAGCTCTACAAAGTTAAAATGCATCTTATTTGTTTTACGGGGAGTTGAGTGCCAGGCTAGCTGTTTCCCCCTGCTTCCAGTCTTTATGCTAAGCTAAGCTAATCACCTCCTGGCTCTAGCTCAATACTTAGTCCACTGACATGAGTTTGGTATCAATTTTCTCATCATTCTCTTGGCAGGAAAGCAAATAGTATGAAAGTATAGAGTGTATCTACAGTATAAACTGCTTTTTGTAAATAAATAGTGCCAGCATATAACTCCCCATAACCAAAAACAGTTGTTTTTTTCATGTCAGTTCGTGTGGGGATTGAACAAACAAGAATACGTGATACATTAGTGGGGTTAGAGTTGTTAGTTTTTTAGTCTAAGCAAGCTGTTTCCTCCTACTTCCAGGCTTTATGCTACACTGACTGCTGCCTGGCTCCAGCTTCATACTTACAGCACAGACATTCATTTTTAACATTTCTTTTAATCGTAAGCATATTTCCCAAAATGTCAAGCTATTATTTTAACTAAATGATATAAAAAGTATGCAGTTTTAGGATTCAAAATGTGGATCAGTATCAAGCGTAATTTGTGCCCACCTGTATTCCTGAGGTGGCGGCCCCAGTCTCATTGCTCTGGTGACTGGACTGACTGGACTCTGGGGACACACAGTCCCTGTCCCCCAAACTGCCTGTCACCCCACTGGAGCTCCGCGAGGACGACCCTCCCATCGCTCCATTCTGCTCCGCCTCTGGAGGCTCTTCTACCCTCTGTAGGTGCGGTTGCTGCCCCGCCCCAAATCCCTCCATCTCATTGCCCTGTCCTTCCTCATCACAACCCTCGTCCTCCTCTGGAGAGTCTAGCACCACTGGTCCGAGAAGCAGGATCTCTCTCCTCCTCTGCTCGGCCCGTTTCTGCTGGGCTGTGGGACTGAGTGGCCGGCGCCGGAGACCGGGTTGACGATCAGCAGTTTGGCCATTGATGGATCCAACTCCTGGCTCAGCGCTCGGCCTTGGGCTGTTCTCCCCCTGACTCCCCCACTGCTGCCTGGACGTCCAGCTAACTGGTGCCTCCTCGACACTTTGATTAATAAAGAGCCTGCGAGCGAGCTCTGTGCAGTCCCCTCTCTCGAAGCAGCTCAGGTCTCCCCTCTTGTCCGGGCTCGGGGACCAGGAGTCTCTGGTGTACCGCGGGAGCTGGCGGCGATGCAGGGTGGGGGTATCTGGTGCTCGAAGCTCTGCTTGGAATAACCTGGGGTCCCTCATCGGAGAGCTGAGCTCGGTGGGAGGATGAGAAGGGCGGAGAACACGTGAGGGAATGCCGGGGGAACTCTGAGCTGCTGATAAAATTGAGCTCTGATGCTGGGTTTTCTGAATGCAGCCCTCGTCGTGTGATTCATTATTATTATGGGAGTTTGTTTCAAGTGACTGTGACTGCAAGATCGAGTTTTCAGGCTGGTGAGAGTCTGTGTTGTCAGATGCTGCCGTGTGTTGGTCATTTAAAGGGATGTTCATCTTAAGCGTTTGCTTAGACTGTTGTGCATTAGAAGTTGAATTGTGAAATTCTCCAGAGTTCGAGCCGCTTGCAGGCTCACCTAAAGCGTTGTGCAATGAGGACCTTCTTGCCTCTGTGAAAATAGAAGATACTTTGGTAGCCTCCTCTGCTAGCCTGCGGGCTACTTCAGGGCTATGAGCCGGAGAGGAGGATTTACTGTCACTTAACTGGTTCAAGCCCTCGATTACATTATTGCCAAGTTGGACGATTGCTCCCTGCGGTGAAGTGCTCCTGTTACAAGTCCTGTGAACATGTTTTTTAGTGACTGGACTGCCTGTCACACCTCGGTCCTGCCCTGACCAGTGAAGAGGACTCTGGGTCTTGACACAGGACTCAGGCTTCGAGTGAGGAGGCTGTCTGGACTGGGAGGATAGCTGGTCTGACGCAGGGCTCCGAGGCAGCCCACAAACAGCCTGGATCCTATCGGTGATGTGGTCTTTGTGGTTTGCGCTGATGGTCTGACGCTGAACGGGAGACCCAGCCCAGGACTGACAGCGCGGCTGTTGGTTGTAGCGTGAGGAGGAGGTGTGCTCAAGTGCATGGGCTAGTTTAATCCTCAGTAGAGGGGAGCCGAACTCCTCCACAGCTCTCTGGGTAGCTGCCCTGCCGATGGGGTCCAAGGCTGGTTGGCGAAGGCCGGGAGAGTACGTCTGCTGGTGACTTCCTGGAGATCGGAAAGTCAGCTTGGGACTGGAGCTGCACGATGAATCGGGACTTCCAAACCAAACTGGGTCGCTGAGCCTTTTACGAAAGTAAGACGGGGTGGATCTTTCCTCTCTGGTACCTCTCTCGCACACAGAGTTGCGTGGACTGTCCAAGGTCTTCACATTGGACTTCTCAATGTAACTGAAGGTGACTACAGACCGCTTTCCATCGCTGACCTCTTCCTCGTTAAACCTCCGGAAGTTGGGAGGTGTGTGAGGGAGAGCGACCTTTCCGGAGGAGGTCATTGGTGGAGAGTGGAAGACGGACACTTCATCACAGGGTGCACTCCAACGCTTGGTGACTGCAGGGGAGCTTCTGGCTTGCTGGAGCTGAAAGCTAACAGTGTTTCTAGAAGGAGACTGGCTGTGTGTGCAGTCCTGAACCAGACGGTGAGCTGTGGAGGTCTTAGTGACGGTCTGGCAGGCCGTCTGGCTCGCTAGCTGAGATAGGAGCTCCGCAGGACTGTCCTGAACCGAATGCCCCTGAGCAATCCCTTCCTCGTTTCCTCCCTTCTGATCTGGGGCAGACCTCACTTCCACATACAAATGAAGGACTTTTCCAGACTGGGACATGACCTCCTCTCAGGCCGTAATGAGGACAGAGAAACAGAAATGGAGCAGGGAGGGAGTCAGACAGGGTGAAAGAGACAAAAACAACTTATTTTTGTGTCCTTTTATTTGTTGGTTTGTTTGTTTTCTCTGTTTTTCTGCAGGTGGTGGGTGTCAGTTTATTTTTAGACGGTCTTTCTTCTCCCTCCCAGCGCGTCTGTGTGCAGAGCAGAGACACACAGGCTGAACGGCCAGAGGACAAACATGCCCATGGGACCCCTCCAACAGCTCCCTATTCTTCATACCTGTGAATGAAAGAAAGGAGGAGTCGTTATCTTTTTTTATCCTCAAATGACGCAAAAGACACACAGGATATTCCAGCATTTGTTGACATATAACGTGTTAGTGTCTTCTCACTGTATCAGAATAAAAACAGGTCACAAAGGATGAGGATTTACTGTATACTTGTGTGCTGGTTTGTCTGCATTATTCTGCAAGTAGCACCTCCAAAACCCTAATTGGAAGTGGAGTTTCTTTGTACTTCAAACAACGGCTACTGAAAGTGAAACTATCCCTCGTCTCTCTCCTCAATCTGTCCTGGGTTTTTGCTATTTTCTATTTATGCCTGTGAAACGAAAGGACGAGGGAATACAAGGGGACACACAAGAACATGTCATGCAGCGAGGCAGTGGCAGGCTGTTTGAGGGGCAAAATAAAATAAAAAGGGCACCAGCAGGCAGAAGGTTGTGATGCATTTATGGTGAAACAGCTTAGTCAGGGTTAGGATTAGCACCCTCAAGGGCACTTTATCACGTTATCTCCACTAGAAGGACACACAAGAGGACACTTTATTGGGTTTTATCTACCATAAGGGCTTCCAAGAGGGCACTTTTTGAACATGACAGCACCATTTTCTTTCTACTAAACTACACCTGCCAACCTGTAGTTGAACGTTAGCTATGTCTAGGTGAGCTAGCTCAGTGTTTCTTTTCTCTACAGTACTGCAGGGGGTACCAGAGAATTTAAAAAATATCAGTCCTGCATAATTCCTAAAATAATTATACTACAATAAATTCAATAAAAACTGTAACTGCAAGTTTGATAAACCATATTTTATATTCAATATTGTCATTTTCAAATCGTAATCTGACGTAAAACCACGTTACAAACACAATCACGTTCACGATGATATGTTGTTTTGTATGATACCGTACCTCTTTATATACACTAGTTTTGCACTGGTACTGGTATATAGTTACGAATAATCTGAGAACCACTGAGCTCGCAAACATAGCAAGAAGATAGTTCCTACATGAAACTGCTCACGAGGTCGGGGGATTATCTTGAGTAACTGGTTCATGATTTCTGGAAAGAGACGTTGTTGTTGAGTTCTTCAAAGAAATATTTTTGGGCTCTTTGACCACAACGAAGCCGATCTGGTTACATCACATTCGAGAGAAGACAGACATCTTTCAAAACAATCTAAAAGGATTAATAGCACAATATGTATTTTGAGTTTAACTCTCACTTTAATTATCTGAGCTATTTGGGCTGAAAAACATTTGCACGAATAAAACTAATTACTGTTTTAGTTCTGGATTGATACACATACACAATACTTTACAGCAGGGTGGTGTATGTGAGTCTGACTGGGGATTTATTGACAATAACACATTTATATCATATCACCAGGCTTATTCATTACCATCTGTAACTGGATCTCAAACAGTGGAGTGAAATCCATAGAGGTAATTTTTCTTTCTCCTGGCAGCCTCTTACTTAATTCCCCAGTAAATACGACACAAACAAACTGAGGCTGTTTGACATGCTAATTGATTCATATGAAAATAAATAATAGTACTTTAAGCCTTTATCTTTAAGCAGAGTAACAGCACTCGCTCTTGCCAAAACAAAAAGCTATAGCTAGCCAAAGTACAGTGGAAGAGAGTAGAGAGCCTCAAAATAGCTGCAAATCAAACAAAACCTCTCTTCAGATTAGGTTGAACCCAAATCCATTTAATTCACACCTCTTCTAAATGCATGCAGACAGGGATGTACATGCTATAACTTGTTCGAGGCCAGCTGATTTGATTCCGCCTCATTACAGCAAACTGATGCATTACAAAGGCGCCGCCATAAACACAGACCGGTTGGACTCAATAACAAATACATTCACTTTTTTTTCTTCAGTTAAAGCAGGTTTGTCGAGATGTTATTGTACGCTATCCCAAGGCTTTCAGATAATGTGCTTTCAGTGGGTTTAACTGTAAATGTACTGAATGACTGCGCCTTGGCAGTGCTCTTGTCTCTTTTCAAAGAGACTTGCCATCTATTTGTCAGATCAAAGCATTCATCTGCTGACGATGTGACTCCATGCTGAGGTCAGACAACAGGGGCATCTGTTTTTGTTATAAAAAATGAAGATATTTGTTGCTCAAAATTGATCCTGACCGTAGGTTTTGAACCTTTCATTCACTGATGCTGTGAGGTTTTGAGTGAGATGATGAAGGAGATGTAGAGAGTGTGATATGAAGGTGAATTGAGGTTCAGAGTTGGTTTTGAAAAGACATTTTGGCTGCCAGATATTGAAGCCACCCACCCTGGACATCCGAAAATGGGTCTGGGCTGACATCATAATAATCTGCATGTCTATGTAACATTAAGCATTGGACCTTGGGACAAACCACAGTTTTAAATATAAATATAGCACTACTTCAGCAGGTACAAACTGCTAAACTGCAAAGGAAAGCTAAAATACAAGAATTAAACACTAAATACTAATGAAATTCTCTGTCTGTGCAAGATCATTTTAAGTAAATTAAGTTGAGGTTTAAATCTAACTTTATATATAAATAAGTGAAAAATGCTGTTTTTTAGATTTAAAAAAAGCTGAAATCAGACTTCCTACAGCACAGTAATAACTGAAATACACTGAATGTTAATCAATTATTCTTAAAGGCCAAGGAATAAGAAAAAAAATCAACAATTCAATTGGAAAACTACTCAGTACCAGTGCAGTATGACTGGCTTCACTCTATGTAATGTAGCTTTTTTACCAGTAAATAACTCAATTTTAAGATTTCCTGACTAACTGACATTTAAAAGACTAATTTGTGATCAATTTAAGAACAGATAGAAACTAGTACATTAGATAATAAATCTCCCATTTTTAAATAAGTGTGAACCTATTGTGCCATCACTGCGGGTGACGTACTGCGAGTTGAGCTGCTCTCATTGGTTGCATAGTTTAGGAAACAATGGGATGTCGTTTGGAAGAAGACTGATACTAGAGATTGAGACCATAAACTCATCAGGAAACTGTGTACTGAGCTCATAAATCAACTGAGAAGTCGACTCATTTCTCCATAAGACTGAATGGTGGAGCTGCCCCCTGCTGGCCGTTACACAGACTGCAGGTTTAAGACACTTTTTAAGACAGTTCTGTCCACTATTTGATGTGCAGATATTGTAGTTAGGGTTTGTATTGCAGACAATATAAATACATATAGTCATATGTGCTTTTAGCTTTTAGCAACTGTTCAAATATGCATACTTTGAATCTCCTGTATGTATCGTCCTCCGTGGGATATACGTTGCACTGTGAGGTGTGTAGATGTTACTTGGAGTCAGAGAGAGCTCATCCTGCTGGGAGAGGAAGCAGGAAATTATCCCTCACCTCCTCCCCTCTGACTCACCATTGATAAGACCCAGCGACAGAGCTTTATCTAAATTCTGAATAAAACAATTAAACGCTCAGGATTCAGTCAATCTATTATCAATCTATTAAAGGGATTGAGTACTTGATTGTGAGAGAATATACAGTTCTCAAATGAATCATGGAAAATCAGATTAGCCTGATCCGATCACATTTTATTTTAGGAATCGCTGTGACGTTGATGCAGCAGAGATACTGAAGACCTTCCTGTGTTTAAAAACAGTACCAGCTCCTCTTCTGCCTCTCTCAACCCGCATCTCTTAAAACCTCAGAGGTTCACTGACGAGTCAAACATCAGATCCAGGTTCACCTCAGGTTCTCAACCACATCACGCACCAAACACCAAACTCTCATCGCAGAAATGTCTTCATTATCCCGCGTTTTAAATCCTGTGCTCGAGCCACTTTTTTCTCTTTGTTGAGCTAAATCCCTCGGCGGTTACTCAACCCAACCGAGCTGAATTCTTTCCAATTGTCAGCCTTCTGTTTAGCGTTCATGCAAAACGACTTTCCACGCCAATAAAGCTGCAGACAACAGAACACTTGTGTGGAAGAAAAGAAAGTCACTCAAACGAGGATGGTGAACTCCAGACTGCTGCCAGCAGCGACAGATTGGAGTTGCCTTATGGTAGCAGTGGGAGAGAACGTGTGTGTCGAAAATTGAAGTTGACAGAACAAAGAGAACTTGTGAGGGACTTGGCACGCAAGGCGAGCAACTTTCCCTCCTTGACCCCAAATGATGTTTCTGCCCTCGCTTCAAAGAGACCAAACTCAATCTCACCAATCCTTTCAGCCTAACAAATTCTCCTCCTGGCTCTCAATTATTTTACCCAGCCTCTCTGCGTGGAGTCGCAGCGACATTTGTCCGGCTGTTTGCTGCAGTTTTGACCCTTACATCCACTACTGGCTCTTATCTAATTATGTTTTTTACTATGTGGGTAAGAGAATAAAAATGCAATAAAAATGTTTCTAATTAGCAAACAACTTTTACTGCCTCTCCATTTGTCACACTCTATCATTTGTCATTCTCACACCTCGGAGCTACTGTTCCCACAGCTACACCATTCACAAAAAAGGGCCTTTGTCCAGTTGTTGGAGACTCCACAGGGTCCCATTGTTTATAAAGGTGTGAGGAAGACGACGTGGCTCCTTGGGCTGCATCACAAATGTGATAGAGATGGTTTAAGGGATGAAGCCACTCAGCAGATTATAGATATGATTTGTCATCTTTCACATTAAGCTGGCTGCAATTAAAAATTCCGTCCACATTTTTAAAAAATGCCTTTCATTTAGTGTAGACGACGAAAACAAAGCTCTTGGAAAACAATGAAGTAGTTTCTTAAACTTTTTACCTCATGTGCCACCTCAGAAACTATCATTATGACTGACGTTAAAGATTTACTTTATTAATCCCAATGGGGAAATTATTACATTTTTTTAATTATATTTTTATAGAACTGCAAATGTGGAGAGACTGTGGAGTAATGGGCTGCCACATGGTGGTTCCCTGGGAGCAGTTAGGGGTTCAGTGCCTTGCTCAAGGGCACCTCAGCAGTGCCCAGGAGGTGCAACTGGCACCTCTCCAGCTACCAGTCCACACTCCCTACTGTGGTCCATGCTGGACTTGAACCCTCCGGTTCCCAAGCCAAAAAAATAAGCCAAAAAATAAGATACAGCAGAGCAGGCCGACCCTGTTCAGACAGTTCACACAGGAGGAGATTATTTATTGTCGACTGTTGTTGAATCCTGAACGAGACCAGTTTAAGAACCAGAGCTAATTTGGTGGGAAAGGGGTCCTCCTGATCCACACTTCCCTTCATAATAGTTCCAGTTTGGAGCCACGACTGCAGTGCTTCTGAACTATTCATTTTACCTCCACTGACTATCTTACCGTCACATTTCAGCCCACTACTAACCATGGATGTATGTGTGCGCCACGTGCATGAACATGACTATGTAGTAGGCTAAAAATAAAATATTACAGGAAACACAAAATGTATATTAATCTTGTAGTTCAAGTGTTGTCATTTTAATGTTTTAGTAGCCTATTTTAAAAGTATTATATGTTTTTAAATCAATCTATTTCCTCCATGTAAACCACTAAAGGCAGCTCCACCAGTGGTACCATAGTTTGAGAACCAGTGACTTAGGCTGTCAGGAGCTGTTTGACAGTAAAGTTAGTGGATCTTCAAATGGAATAAAAGCCCTGCTTTTTTAAAAATGCATGAGGCTGCACTGAGGTGGGCGTGGCACACTCTTCATCATAAATGAGACGGAGCTGGTGGAGGCAGGGCCGGATCTAGAGATATATTTAAGAGAGTATCATGGAGACTTTAACCTCTTAGACCCTGCTGGAGCATACGATTGATCCACGGCTGTAGGTTGTGTAGACAAACATCGTGCAAACTCTGAACACTTCAGAAATATCAAATATAGTTTGAGCTGTGGGGAAAATGTATGAAACGATGCAAAATACATTGAATTTTTCTGTTAAATGTTGGAACAAGCACATACAAAATAAAAATGTAATAATACATTATTTTCACTTAAACCTATTTTATGTGACAATTAAACCATATTAGCTTATTATGTTTCTGCTGTTTACGTTCCCTATATACAAATTCAAAAGATGTACTGTAGAATTATTTCCAGTGTGTATAAGTATATAAATTAAACTATATATATGTTGATTTATTCTATTATATTTATCCGTTATGTTATTCTATGAGTTGTTTCTATGTGTGTAGCATGAAGGAACTACAAACTTACAGCCCCGTGTTACATAACGATGAATACATTTCCTTGATTCCTTGATAATGTGGCCACATAATTAAATAAAAGGTTTTAAGTTCCACCTTTTAATGTATTGTTTTGAAAATGAATCTAAATTAATGTGTTCAATTCGACAGCAGCTGGGGTTACAGGTGGCATCTGCCAACCGATGGCGCCCCTCTACATCCGCCCCTGGGTGGAGGGACAGGGATTATTCTTAGATATGATTTGTCATCTTCGTCGCCACCGAAAGAGGAAGCCTGTAGGATGGGAGAACATTGGCCGGTATCGATTCTGGAAAGAGCCGAGATGAGCCTCAACTTCATTCATGCCCCTTCGATCCATTGACTCATCATCTGAGACAGATGTTGATGGGAGCAGGCGAGATAAAGACGGGTGAGAGAAAGAGCACGAGAGATGGATGGCGAGCAGGAAACAGGGAGACGGGCGGTGAGAGAGGAAGAAGGCAGGATGAGAGAGTCATGTATATGAAGGAGAAAGCTCTGCTGGCAGTCGGCCAGAGTGATGGGAGTGTAGAGTTACAGGAAGGTCCACGTTAGAAGCACACAACAGCAGATGTAACGTAACACCTTTTCTTCTGCAGCGAGAAAGCGCAAAGAGACCGTTTAAAGGGTAAGTTCACCTAAATCACAAAAGATTTTCAAACTCAGTCTGTATTCACACTAAATCAAGCGTTGCAGCACTTCCTGCAGGGTTGTGCGGAGGTGTGTTTATTCAGAAAATAACTTTTTATTTCTCACTACCGCTGCTCCCTCTCTTCATTCACTCTCTGTCTCACTCTACCAGCTCTGCTCTCTCTTTCTCAGCCACCAACGTCGGGTTGTGTTTCTCTAAAAGTTGATTCATTTTCAGCATTTTGTAGCAGGGTTGCTGTGAGGACAGTTGGATGAGTTTCTTGATGGACTTGTTGAACTACAGTATAATTATTTTAGGAATTATGCATGGCTGATATTCTTTTAAATGAGCATTTTAAAATGAATGATCACATATCCCCTTACAGTACTCCAAACTACCCCTAGGGGCACGTGTACCCCCATTTGAGAGACACTGAAACATGGAGTCAGAGCTGAACAGGAGCACTGAAGGACAAAATGTAAAACTTTAGCTTCACCTCTCGACATACATCGGTAAAAAAAAATTAAAAAGCCACAGCTGCTCAGTGTTGATGACTCATCCTCCTGTTGTCCTAATGGGTCACAATGCTCACAGAAGGACACACACACACACACACACACACACACACACACACACACACACAAGATGGATCAACTCCTTGGCTGAGCGTTTATGCGTCAAATCACACAGGTAATTAAACCCCAAACAGCATGTGCTGCTCTAATATTAGCTCCCTGGATACGATGGGGGTGAGGCGGGGGCTCATGCTAATATTAGCTCTCAGTTTGCTTGTTGCTGGCGTGGTGCACTTGCAGCTATGATTTCAGCAACATGACAGGTAGTAACACATTAAAGCCTCGAGAGATTAAGAAGGTTTGAATGAAATAGGAAGCAGATATTCAGGCACTATCCCAGCGCAGCTCCCCAACCCCCTCGATCATCCACTCACATTGATCAAAGCGGGTATTGATTCCTCTACATGTAATATTAGGTTACATCATACTGTATTTGGCACAGCTGCCTACTAGTGCAAATTCCCAAGAAATGGCCGAGGGCTCACTGTCACACCCAAAATACACAGCTCAAGCTCGATGAACTTCCACCGCTCTGCATCGTAATTAACCGAGAGGCGGCTAAAGAGGATGAACTGGAATTAAAGCGGCGAGTGTCAGCGCTGTCTAAGAAACATGACTTTGTTTGCATTTGATACAAGGCTGCCTTCAGCTTCTCCTTTTCTCCTTTTCTGCCTTCAAAGACACAGTCAGACAAAAGAGATGGGTCCTCTGACTCATGCAGAGGCACAAAAAAGTGTGTATATACGTGTGCGTGTGTGTGTGTGTGTGTGAGAGAAGAAAGATGCAGAGAGGCTTATTGGGGGAGAGAAGAAGGGAGAGGCATTCAATCAGCAGCACATTGGCCATGACCTCGCTGCCTCCTCCACTCACTACCTTACATGCCCACGGGAATCTTCAGTCGAGAGGCTGCATTAACGTACAATAAACAACCTGAAACTTTAACATTACAGCAGAATAAACTGTATCATCCATAGAAATCTCTGATATTCAAACCAGCTGCTCGTCAAACTCGTGCTTATTCAACGTGTTGTTTCTGATGTGTCATACTGTAGGTGTTCATCCAGTCTGTCCACCTGTCATTACTTTCTCCGTGCACAGGGTTTGTTATTACCTCCAAAGGTTTATAGTTGCTGCTCTGTGTGCACAAGATGACACGGAAATAAGAAGACACTGGATTTTCAGGCAAAAAGCCTCCAGGCAGCATAAAAAAACCCAGTATAAATTATTTAAATTAATTAAATAAGATGCAGAGTCTCACTACTGGACGCCGTGTCCCTTTTTTTTCTTCCCGGGAGCCTATTTTTAGCTGGTTTTGGACTATTTAAAGGACCAGTGTGTAGGATTTAGCAGCATCCAGTGGGAAAGGTGCAGATTGCAACTAACTGAACACTGCTCGCGCCTGTATTTGAAGACCTGGGAATGAGAAGAGGATATTAAATGTGTCAGATAAACTACGGTGGCTGCGAACCTTGCAAAAAACGTGAAAGGCCCAAATATTGAGCTCAATTTAACCAGTAACAACAATGGTTTGCATAATATCCCAGCAGAGGAACATTATTTTATTATTATTTTCAGAGTAAGACCATTTATACAACTTCTTGCTCCCAGTGTTGAAATGAAGCAGCTGTTTAGTTGTTGTGAATGTTTCTGGAGCCTTCATTTAAGATAAAGTCACAGATTTATTTACACAACACAAGAAAATGTGATTATATTTAAGAGTAGTTGGCTGGTTTCTAGAAGGGCTGTTTGTTTTGCAGTGTTTAATGTGAATAAATAAACTACTCTATGTTATTTTCTATGCCAGTTGTGTTTAGCAGCTCCTCTAAACTCATTGGGATTCATCGTCAAGAAACCACAAATGTCTGAACAACATTTCATGGCACAACAGTTGTAGAGATATTTCAGTCCGGACCAAAGTGGTGGACAGACAGACAGAGAGACTCATTGCCATCTCTAGATCCATGCTGCTAATGGTTAAATGCGCTGTTTAACACCGTGTTGGGTTGTGTGGCCCGCTACCATAACCAACAGCCTCCATATTTGACGGAAATGAGACAATCAACTATCTTTGGCCCCACGTTTACGACCTTTACATCTCTGAGCTGCCATATGACAGGAAAACCCTAAATAAACCATTTTCCTATAATATGATGTAATGATCCCCAACCAGCAATGTCTTTATAATCTCACAGAAAGTGACAGAAACAGAAACAGAAACCACTTATTCCCAGCGGGCGACCTCGCTCGCCCTATTATCTCCGCTGTGGGGTCACGTTCTGCTGAACAGGTCAATGTGCCAGGCTTTAGAGAGGACAGCGGCACAGTGACACTGATGCAGACAAAATAGCTCTTATTCTGTCTTCCAACGCCAGGCTGGAGAGACTTTAAACGCCCTTCTAGAGATAAAGCCAAAGACAACTTTGACAGAAAAAAACAAGATGACTAACTTTTTATCCTAGAGTTCAAGCGGAGAATTAGTCAACCATGTTATCCAGTCCTGCCAAAAGACTCTTCTAATGGGGCTCCAAACTAGTGGCTATCGACAAAATAAGGCTGCAACTAACGACTGTTTCTTCCCTTTGATGAGTGACCCTTCAGCGCACCAAAACACAGCTCAGTGAAAAATCATCTGTCCGCTCTAATGCCTCGGCTGCAGCGCGCCTACAGTACATTAATGTCACCATCTACACTTTCAGAATGGTCAGAAGATGTGCCTGCTGATATATGGCAGTGATACTCAGCGGCCTCATCATGTGGTTTTTATTTCCAAAGCCTAAAATAAATTCTGTTAAATGTCAAAAAGGGGGTCAAGCTGTGAGGAAGAGCTTGCAGTCAACATCAGTACCATCAATAAGGACACCTGCATCTGCTCAAAGGTAATGCTGTCATGATACAATATAATAATTTTAACCCAAAAGAATTGTTAAAACTGATTACATTGAACATTTTAAGCAGCACAAACTGAATTTTGTGAGTTACAGAAAGTACTTTTTAGGTATTTTGTTTCACAAATACAAATGACAAAATAAAGTTAGTGTCACTTAAAAGTACTGAAGCTAATTGATCGAGAATATTTTTATAGCTTACAAAATAGTTCGTTTTACATGAAATGTTCAGCGTAATCGGTCTCAACACTATTTTGAGTTAAATCAACTTATCTGGTTTTACAGTGACTGTAATGAGATGAGAAATTATTCTAACTCAAAAAAACTTTTGAACTTACTGCGTTGACTATTTCTCTCCTCAAATCTGTTCACAAACATATTTTACTGTTTATCTGGAATAAACTCGAGGCTTCAAAACGGTTCTCCACAAACCGATGGGTGACGTCACGATAGGTTCACACTTGACACTTCCAACCTGAAGCATCTTTCTCGGCTCTGATTGGTTGTTTTCGTTCAGGCCCGGTGGATTCTTGTAAATCCCATCAGGAGCACCAGGAGGAGCCAGAGGAACCTGAGTTTTCCCACAGATTATCTGTCTCGTGCTCTACTGTCAGGATTTAGTGAAAGTTTTAGCAAATATGACAAAAAGTTATTTTGATAAAAGTTACCTACTGCAGCTTTAAAGTGTGTTATAATTTGAACCGTATACATTTCCAGACTGATCACATCACAATATATTTACTGAAATTCAATAACAACTATTAGCCAGCAGCAGCTCATTATTGGCGTAGATAAGAGTGTGGTATTGCATGTACTGACATGTTCACATGCATTCATTATACAGAAATATGCAGTCCTTCATTTCACACACCCTCACACATGTTCTCTCATTCATGCCTTCACACTCACTATCTCACCCACCCACACAAACACACACACATATACCGAAGAGAGTCCCACTTCTTTCTGCCCATTAGTCATCAGTTCGTAAGTCTCACAGCGTGACACGCACATGTGGATCATCTGTATCATCTTGCAAAACCTGCCAACTACCTCAGCGACTGTTTATCAGGATCGACCCCGAGCTGTCAGCACAAGCCAGAGACACCAGTAGCTACATTTGTACTATAGACACACCAACACATACACAAAATCTTTCATCTCCTCCTCTCATCTCAATCTCACACTCACCTCTCCTCCTCTCACAGCCGCTTCATCCATACAGGATTTACACCTCCCACATGGTTTATCTTGTCTCATCCTCTCTGTTATTCCTTCTTCCTTCCTTCTCATCTTCCCTCCTTCTCTGAGGCAGAGCAGTGCAGACCTGTTCGACCAGCACAGCCTGCCTTCTCCCTCCCTCTCTCCCTCCCCGGCAGCAATGCTCACACTCAGCCAACCTAGCCCTGCCCCCTTCCCGTCCCTCTGCCTTTCACATGCATGCTGAGTCAGTGAGTAGTTAGTAGGGGTATATGGAGGGAGGCACGGAGGGAACGTGCATGACAAGGAGGCATGGAGTGTTTAAAGGCCCCGGGGA